CCCCGCCCAATTCTGTTAATCAGAGATCGTTAGATAAGATGTTTCAGTAGGGGAGGGGCTCCTCAGAGTGTCCCAGAGGTAGGTCTCCCACACTGGCCCACCTTCATGGCAGCCACAGCGCTTGGTGTAGGAGAGGGGTAGGAGCTGCAGGCATCCCTGCCCCCTGCACCGCTAGGCAATTGGCTGCCCACAGCACCCGGTCTAGGCTGCACATCGCCAGAGTTTGTAGAGCTGTCTCTCTCCACCTCCACACTGAAAATCTGAGACGCCGAACTGGCTATAGGAAAAGATAGGGTCAGGGCTCTGCCAGGCTAGATTCCTACGGCTGAAACCGAGGAGGGGAGAAGGAGTTGGCCAGTATTTAGAAAGGGAAGCTTGTTTGGAAAGTTGATCAAATCCTGGCGGTGGATGTCGGTGATGCTCAAACCACACTGTTGATGTGCTCGGTGCCCCGAACTGAACAGCGGAATATGGTTGTTTTATGTGGCGTTGTATGTGTCTATGATTTCAAAAATACTTTTTAGAATTTTTTTTTTAAATTTCATGTTACGTGCCTGAGTGTTTTGCCTGCGTGTATGTGCATGCACCGGGTGTGTACCTGGTTCCCACACAGGTCAGAAGAGGGTGTTGGTGCTCCTGAAGCTGGAGAGATGACTGTGAGTCATCTTGTGGGTGCTGGGAGCTGAACCTGGGTCCTCTGCAAGAACAGCAAGTGCTGCTGACCGCTTAACCACGGAGCACTCTTAACTGCTGAGCCATCTCGCCGGCCCCCTCTTTGATTTTAAAACAAACAAACAAAAATACAAACAAGACAAAACAACAGCCTTGCTAGAGTTGGGGACACTAGTCCAGGTTCGTGGCTGGCTGCTCTCCACTTCCTGCTGATCTTGGCTTTCTTTGGCTCACAGATAACTTCTACCTGCGAAACCTGCCCCCGCAGCCCACAATCCTACCTGCCAACCACAATTTCCCCGGGGTGCCCCGAGCCACTCCTGCCCATCCCATTGGATCCTGCAGCCGGGACCGCATTGAGGCTGCCCCGCTGCAGAAGGGTCCTAAGGAGTTTGACCGCTTCCTCATGGGTAAAGAACTGGGCAAAGAGAAAGCCAGCAAGGTAGCAGAGGGCAGAGAACGCCCGGTGGCCGAGGAAGATAGCAGCAAAGACCGACAAAAGCTGGTGCCACCCATGCCCACCGAGGGGCCATGCAAGGAGGGGGGTCCGGCACCCCGAGGGCCCTGTGAGGGCCGCCCTAAACATCTCACCTCCTGCCTGCTCAACACCAAGGTACTCAACGGTGACATGGGCAAGGCCTCGCTGGCCAGTTGTGCAGGGGGCATGCTAGGCCGGTCGGGCACTGGCGTTGCGGCGCCCGGACGCTGTGCCAAGGAGGTGGCGGGCCCTGTGGAGCCTGGGCCAGCCTTCAGCGAGTGCCTGGAGCGGAGGCAGATGCTGCACCACGCCGTGTCCTACACCGTGCCCTCTGGCCTGCCTTCCGGGCCGCCCCCTCCCCTCAGCACGGGCCCTGCAGGCTCTTTCCCCTGTCTGCAACTACACGCAGGTTCAGATGGGCTCTGCCCCCTGCAGGACAAAGTCTCCCGGGACCTAAAGGCCAGCGGGCCCACCTTTGTGCCTTCTGTGGGACACCTGGCTGATAAGAGCCGCCCTTTCCAAGTAGCAGAGGCCTGTGCCGTGGCCGGCGATGGGAAGGACCGCCACCTGGAGGGGACCATGGCCCCCGACCATGGTGCATCCTACGGAGTCTCCTATGCCCACCTGAAGGCCGAGGGCAAGGGCGAACGGCGACCTGGGGGTTTTGAGGCAGCCCTCCACCCCCGGCTAAAGGGCCTGGAGTATCTCAGTGCAGGTCCCGAGGCCCCTTTCCCTGGACTTCCCAAAGGTGGTCTGGACAAAGGTGGCTACTTCGAGTTGCCCGCCCCTTCACAGGACTGTGCCCGGCCCAATCACCAAGACTCGCTGAGTGGGAAGGCTGCCCAGGCCTGCTGCACTTTAGACAAAATGACCAGCAAAGAGGTCCCTACTGGTGCTCCGGGGACCCAGAAGGTGGCCCGGATCCGGCATCAACAACACTTGGTGGCTCCTGAGGTAGAATCAGGAGGCAGTGGAGCTGAGGCCAAACGCAAGTCCATGGAGCTGGCATCTCTGGGTTATGGCGGGCCCCATATGCCTCCGTGGGGGGTTCAGGCAGGCCACAGCACCTCCATGGCCGTCAGCGAGGAACGAAAGGGCACTGCCTACCTTGACCCCTTTGGCAGTGGCCTGCAGCAGGCAACCCTCCTGTCCCAGGAGCTCCCCACTCCACCAGATGAGGTCTCGGCCATGAAGAATCTGCTCAAGTACAGCAATCAAGCCTTGGTTGTGGGCCAGAAGGCTCCCTTTGTGGGTCTGGGTGGCCTCAAAGCCAGCTGTGTCCAGCAGGAAGCCAAGTTCCCAGCCACTAAGGGCCCAGGCCCAGTGGAGAGACCCGACTGTGCCCGCAGCCGGGAACACGAGGCTCCACACGGAGATGGGGAAGTGCGACAGCCACCCGTGGGCATTGCGGTGGCCTTGGCCCGGCAGAAGGACACAGTCAGCAGACCTGACACAGCCTACAGTTCCAACAGTGGGCGGCAGGGCAGGGCCGCCCCCACCTTCAAAGGTAGGATGTTCTTGGTCAGGGAAGCAAGGCGGATAGCATCCACAGTGTTCCTTTCCTGCCTGTGAACCCCGTGGACCCCCTACATCTGCCCCTAGAAGATCTTCAAAGCCCCCAGGGCCAGGGGACCCCGCCTCAGTGCATGAGCCCCTGGCTGTAGGCACGCTTCAGACTCTCTGGATATCCCAGCCTGATCTTTCTGCCGTCTTCTCTCTGTCAAGCTGCTGCAGGATCCCGTGCTAACCACGCGCTGGACCTGGAGAGTGAGGAGGAAAGGACCAGGATGTGTGACGACCGCCTGGGGCTGCCTGGCCGTGAACTGCTCTTACAGTAAGAGCCGAGTGGAGGCCCTTGGTGGGTTTGCCCTCTCAGAGTCCTCGTGGGAGGAAGGGAAGTGTCACAACCACGACACCAGGCACTCGCCTGTCATGTGCCGGGCATGCACAGCATTCCAGCATTCCCGGAGGGCTCTGCTCACTTACCCTCTGCCAGCCGCAACACTGCTGGGAACCGAGGCCCAGAGTCTGGGGTCTCCTAGGAGCTCTCCACCTCCATTTCCCCTTGGCAGGTTGACAGTCTGTTGAGGGGTTGGGATTGGATGGGGCAAGGGTGGGGGCGCCAAGCTGACTCTAATGATCTTACAGAGACAACAAAGACCTCGTGGAATTTGCCCGGATCCACCCGTCAAGCAGCTGCCCTGGAGACCTGCCCCCCCACCTCATGATGCAAGGCGGCCAGCTGGGCGGGGACCCGGCCCCCCACCCCCACCCCACCCACCCCCACTGGCTGCCCCGTACCCGAAGTCCCTCCTTGTGGATGGGGGGACATTCTTATGGTCAGTGTTCTGAGAGCACTGGGAGGCTGCCTTGGGGTTCGAGGTCATCCCTCCTGGCCATTGGGGAATGGGAAGCCTGAGCGTTAGTTCCATGTGGACTCTCGGGCCTGAACACTGCTATACTATTGTTCCTCAGGCCTCGGACACCCTGCCCTGCACCAGAACCTACCCCCTGGCTTCCCAGCTTCGGTGCCCGGATCCATGCCCTCAGTGTTCCCTCTTCCCCAAGATGCTCCCACTCAGCTGGTCATCTTGCCCTCGGAACCCACAGCCCACACTACCCCTCACACACTTGGTAAGGACTCTTCTCCAGTCCGACTGTCGGCATGGGGGCTGTGGGCAGTGGATCTGAGAGAACTAGGAGGTACCTGATTTATCACCTCAGGGACAGGGGAGGGATGGACTGAGAAGGGCTGAAGGGAGATGAGCTGGCGGATAAAGGGGAAACTTGCCCAGGTGGGCCCTTCACCTCTGGCTGGAGCTTACTGATAGTCCTCTCTCTGGTCCTCTGCCGCAGCGGAAGTCATGGATCAGGCCTCGCTGTGGCCCCCCATGTATGGGGCCCGGGGACCTGCCTCACACATGCAACACCCTGGCCAGCTCCCCGTGTACTCTCGGTCCCAGCTGCTTCGGCAGCAAGAGCTGTATGCGCTGCAGCAGCAGCAACAGCAGCAGCAGCAACAGCAGCAGCAGCAGCAGCAACAACAGCAGCAACAGCAGCAGCAGCAGCAGCAGCAGCAGAGGGCCACCCAGGCTCTGGAGCTACAGCGAGCTGCCCAGTTCCAGGTACAGTGCTCCCAACAGCCACCCAGCCTGAGACCCAAGACAGTTCTACCCCTCCAGGTCCCATGCAGATGGCCCCAGGACAGACACTCTTGCATGCTTGCATGTTTCCCACCAAGCAGTGGGCCACGGGGCTACTGAGGGTGTGGCCGTCTGAGCCTCTTACCCCCACACTCAACAGCGCAAGCCTGAGGATCGCCACATGGAGCTGGAGGAACCTGCCCAGGAGAAGGCCCCAAAGTCCACCCACAAGCCAGTTGCCTTAACCCCCATGGCCAAGGGCACCCCCTCATCTGCCACTACAGGCCCGGTCAAGCTCTCGCCCTGCTGCCACTCACCCACTCTGAAGACTCCTGCTGGTTGCGCCACCTCACCGCCACCTCGGCCCAGCGCCCCCTGCACTTTATCTGTCTGCCCTACTGGCAGCCCAGGGCCTGGCTCCAAGGTGCCTGGCACCAAGGACAAGAGTGGGGAGGGCCAGCGGGCTGGAGCCAACCTCACCACACTGGAACCAGGTGAGGGCAGGAGCCGCTGTGGCCTGACAAGTCCTACCCCTGCTGGGTGGGTGGGGCTGCCCCACCTGCCCCTCTCTACCCAGGTATTCCTATACTGAGACCATGAAGTCCTTCATCTCCTTTCTCTTCCCTCTTGACGGTCCTCCTGTGAGCTGTGGCTTAGTCTCATGGCCCAGATCTAGGTCCCCTTACTCTGGGTAGATGGGGGCAAAATAAGGACGAGATCCACTCCTTCGCTGGCCAGTGCCGGGAGCCTGTGAGTGGTGACCTGTCTGGCTTGCCACAGGTAGTGGCATCAGACTTGGGACCTGTCCCCAGCCAGTGTACCCAGGTTTTTTTTTTAAAGCTGAGCAAAGGGACAGTGTCACCATCTGGGGCCAGAGATACAACCTGCCCTGCCGGAGGCATGGAGAAGTGACTTTACTGAGGTGTTGTGCCTGCCACCCCCCAGCTTTCTAGTAGCCTGTGATTTTCTCTGGATCAGGCTGAGCACTGAGAACTCCATCTGATGAACATAAAGCCTGTCCCGATTCTACAGTAGGGAGACCAAACCACCAGGGATTTTGCGTTTGAGTATTTTGTTTTGTATTAAATTAATAGGGCATAATGCCTCTCACATACCGCCAGCTTGTTCTAGTTCAGAGAAAACCCCAGTTCAAATACCATGGCTTAAAAATCCTCTTTTCCAGCTGGGCGGTGATGGCGCACGCCTCTAATCCCAGTACTTGGGAGGCAGAGGCAGGTGGATCTCTGAATTTGAGGCCAGCCTGTACTATAGAGCAAGTTCCAGGACAGCCAGGGCTACACAGAGAGACCCTGTCTCAAAAAACCAAAAACAAAACAAAGCCCTCTTTTCCGGACAGCCAAACCAGAGATGCTCCTGAGGGTTCCTGTGGGTCCCTGTGGGTCCCTGTGGGTCCCTGTGGGTCCCTGTGGGTCCCTGGTTAGTGTTAGTGCTGAAGCCTCATCTCTTGTTCCTCTCTCAGAATAGCACGGTCCCGTTCGTTGGTCTCCTGTCCTTCAGACCAGGAAGCCTTCCTGCCCCTCCTGGAATGGGGCCGTGCTGTTCCTGCCGTTCCCACGGGCCCCTCACGTGAGTCTTCTCTTACAGACCTGCCTCCGGGACTGAACCCCACAGCTGCTGTGGACTTCTCCCTCCCTGCAGACATGCACTCCTCCGACCTCCCAGACCCCAAAACTATGCAAACCACTACCCCAGGAACTCGGCCTGAGCCCACAAGGACGTTCCTGCCTGGGGAGCCACCCCCCTGCAGCCCCAGGAGCCTGGAGGAGCCTGGGCTGCTCTCAAGGGCCAGGGAGGCCACCCAGGACCTTGTCATCACACCCCACCCTGTCGAGCAGGGACTCCCACCAGGAAAGGCAGAGGACCCCAGTCCTCTTGAGGGGTTGCAAGCACTGAGATTTGGAGACCTCCTTGAGGGAGGGGGCACTGAGGCTACTGGCCAGACTAATTCTTCTCAGGGAGGGTTGCAAAATGAGGGGACTGTGGATCGGGGGGTGCCACGGCCCCCTTTGGGGGCTCCCCCTCAAGCACTGGAACAGATGACTGGGAGCCCAGTTGCCCTGGACAAGGAAGAAGGTTCACAGATGGTCCCTGATGCGACCCAGCTGCAGGAGGAGGAAACCCAGCTGGAGGAGAATGGGGGAGACTCAGAGGTGGACTTGGGGACTCCCCGCCACAGCCACCCACCCAAAGCACTACCAGGCTTGGATGCCTTGGTGGCTGCCACTGTGGACTTAGGGGACCTGCCTGACATCAGCCTGCCAGATCCTCAGACCCCAGCAGCCTCGGTGCCCCTTAGCACGGCCCCTCTGCCCCATACCTCAGGGATTCATGGGATTGCCCTGCTCAGTGAGCTAGCTGACCTGGAGATCCAGCGACAGAAGAGTGAGCTGGCCATACAAGGTGAGCCCCAGCTACAGCATCCTTCCCTGACACCCTGGGAGCTTTGGCCTGGTGCAGTCGTCCCTGAAGAAAGGAAGACCCCAGGGAGAGGGGATCTTCCTGCCCCCATGGGTCCCCTTTCATGGAAGTCAGATGTAGCTGTCCTGGCCGCCACAGGATCCATTCTAGCCTGGAGGAGCCAACTGGCTCTGGGCAGGACCCCTGGGACCAGGACCACCCCTTTGGCAGGCTCAAGCAGAAGATGTTGCGACCTAAGGCAGAGGTTTAGATGGGGGCCTGGGAGCAGGAGCGGAACCAGGATGCTCGGGCTGCTGCTTTGTCAGGTGGCTAGGATTGCTGGATTTCTAAACCTCAGCACTTCCCAGGACTGAGGCTGCAGGGTTTCCTGCTTCAGGCTGGGACGAGGGGCTCCTAAGCTTATCCAACCAATCACTTAGAGGTCCTCAAATAAGTCCAATAGGATGAGGAGACCCGGAGCCTGCACGGCCTTTCCCCAGCAGAGAGACATCACACAGTCCCCAGCCGCCCCTGTACTTGAAACCCCCTCCTCAGGGCCAGAGAAACAGCACCTTGCCTTGGGGCTGCAAGGGAACCCGCACTAAGGGGCACCCTAGCCAGCCATCGTGCAACATGGTGTTTACAGCAGAATGTATAGTCTTCAGGTTCAGCCTTGGCTCCCTGATACATAAATCCCCTCCCAAGGCCCCGGCTCTCACTGTGGGAAAGGGGTGCTGCGGGGTAGCCTAAACTTGGACCTACCCTAGCAAGAGTGGGGATGGGCAGTGGCAGGAAGTTTAGGCCCTGGAGGAACTCCTGCTGGACTGTGTAGAGGGAACCCTGACCCGACCCCTGCTGAGGCCTCACTTGAGTAATGCATGATGCCCTGTGTCAGGGCCAAGCTGCCAGGGCCTCCCATATGAAGGTTGTACCATAGCATGAGGGGGACTCATGGGGCGCCTTGTCACACGGCCTGTGAATGCTGACGAGACCGGAGCCCTTTCATTGAGTAGATACTTTTAGAACGCATCAGAGCAGGGGGCGGGGGGTACATCTAGTGTTGTAGCTACCAAGGCATGCTGGTAGTCCCGGGGTGTGATCCCAAGAAACAGAGTCCTAGAAACTGCCCAGCTATGCCATGCAGGGTGTGATCCCATGCCCACCTGCTCCTCCTAGAGCGCCGTACCCTCCCTTTCTCCCGGCCACATAATGGCCGGATCCTACGTCGTCGCTGCGATAGGAGCCCTTACAGAGTGTGGTAGCTGCTGTGGCTGAAACCAGTCAAATCAGCTTCCTCCATCAGACAGTCTGAGAAGAGACAAATGGGGAAAGCAGGTGCTGAGCCAGGCTGCCATCACCAGGATAAAAGGGAGACCTTTGGGTGGCCCAGGCCTGGCAGAGCCATTTGTGCCAAGCCCTGGCCTTAAGGGCACCCAGAGCAAAGGAAGGAGCATAGGAGTCGTATCTGACCTAGGCTGTGTAGGTGGTGATGGAATCTGCCCTCTTCCTAAAGAGAAAGCCAGGCCTGCTTTTTCCTTCTTCTTGCTAGGGACCTGCATCCCTAGCTCCTCTCTAGGAGCCCTAGCCTCTCCTCTAGGCTGGGAGGAATCCTGTGGTAGAGATCCTGGCCAGAAAGAAAATTATGCCCAAAGATTCGAGCGTTTGCCAGATGTCCCTCCGGGTATCTCCTGGCACCACAGAAACGCCCTTTATGTTCATGTAGCCCTGGCTGTCCTGGAACTCACTCTGTAGACCAGGCTAGCCTCGAACATACAGAGATCTGCCTGCCTCTGTTGTTTGGGCTGAGTGTTGAGCTTAAAGGCATGCACCACTCCTGTCCAGCCAGAAGCAGCCTTTCAGGAAGGCTATTCCTTGGTCTTCTGGTCCTGCCCTGTGTGGTGCATGTACCTCACATACTCGACAGAGGTACCCACCCATCAGTCTCTGGGGCACCTCGGCTGGGCTTTACCAGTTTTTCTGCTGACTAGATTCCAGCACTGTATTTTTGGTAGGGCTCCTCACCAAGCTGTGTGCACCTCTTCAGGGCACCTGCCCATTGTCCTTGGTCGTCCGTGTTCCCCCTGGTGTAAATGGTTCACAGCCCTCTCTCCTGCCCCTCAGTTGTTTGGAACCTTGGTGCAGAAGTACCATGGAGTGGAGCCGTGAGGGCCTCTTCCTGTCTGCACACCTCCACGCTGCATTGATATTCTGACCTCAGTACCCTTCCCGGGTGTAAAGTCTCCCCAGCTACAGTGGCCAACTGCAGTCACTATTCTGACGGCCATATTGCTTTGATTTGGATGGTGGAGCCATTGGGCCTGCCCTGTGTGCTTCCCACATTCCCCTGTCACTCTCAAAACACTTCCCTGCTTTCCAGAGTCATCCTGAAGTTGTCCAGCCTCAGTTGTCACCATAGTAACAGGATGCTGCCACCACGGAACAGGTGGCTGGGGTGTTGCTCTTCCGAGGTGTCTAGGTTTCCACGTCTTCTTCTCAGACCCCGCTGGGCTCCTCCTGGATTGCTTCTCTGACCCCTCAGAGATGTCCTTGTAGAATTGGCTCAGTCGTTCCCAGTCCTTCATGGTGTCTGTGTCTCAAGTGTCTACCCTGAATCCTTGCTACCCTCTGCTGGCTTAGCCCTTGACCCAGTACTGAGCCAACCCTCATGTCCCACCCCAGGTTTTCCTTCTGTGGTTAGCTGCCACTGCTGCCCAGATTTTGTACATGCTGGTGGGAGGTGGGTGGTTCACTACAGGGTGAACCTGTAGTAGTGGGTAGCTTAGCTGCATGTGACGGCTATTCGGGCTCTAGAACACAGCTCAGCTGCATGGGATCCGAGAACCTTTGGTCTGCCTGATTTTGTGCTGGGTTTATGGTAGAACCCTCTGCATCTTCGGTCTGCTCAGTGCCTAGTGTCCCAAAGAATGGGGCATGGGGCACACTTGCAGGCTTGTAGACACTGTGCCAGGCCTGTGTGAACCTGCTTGCCCTGCGCTGTGGCCTAGGGTGGATCTCCCCAGCTGTTGCCTGGAAGGCAGGCCATTCCCTGTGGTTTGACTCCTCACTTGGTCCTCACATCCTGAGGAACGTGAGCAGCTCCAGGCCTGGACTGTGCCGGGAAGGGAGCGGACATTCAAAGCCTCTCTGAGGGACAGTGTGTGACCCGTCCCTCTCCCTTCAGCAGAGGATGAGGATGTACTGGCCTTCAACCTGCAGCACCTCGCCACCCTGGCCACAGTGTGGTCCCTAGTGGAGGCTGCTAGCCTGGACAGCGCGGTCACTTCACTGCAGGCCCCAGCTGCTGACCCAGACAGAGGCCCCAGGCTCACCCCTAGAATGCAGATTCTACAACGCAAGGACACCTGGGCCCCTAAAACCAAGCCCGTAAGTGAGCACGCTGACACACACTGCCCAGTGCCGCGACAGGTGGGAATTCCGCTGCAGGCCTGGGCCGCCTCCCACGCTCAGGTTCCTGAACGCTTGCACACAGGTATGCCCCCTGAAGGCTGCCATCGACCGGCTGGACACACAGGAAGTAGAGGTGCGCATGCAACTGGCAGAGCTGCAGCGGCGCTACAAGGAGAAGCAGCGGGAACTGGCGCGCCTGCAGCGCAGGCATGACCACGAGTAAGACGCTCAGGCGGGGATGGGACCCTTGACCCCTAGCGCAGCATGTGGCGAGTCCCTGCAGGGTGGTCCTGGCCTCGTTGGTCACCTTGTGGGCAGCGGCCCAGCTGGGACAGCCTGGGGACTGTAGTCTGCAGGGTGCTCGTGAGACCTAAGCAGCCAGGCAGTGGGGGGAAGAACCAGTCGTTCAGCAGAGGGCAGCATAGAGAGGCCTAACCACAAGATGGCAGCGCAAGGGGCCATGGTGGCTAAAGTGACTGGGTATGACCGAAGACTAGGAACCCCCGGGGGGGGGGGGGGAGTCGGGCGGGGGGAGGCTGGGTCCTACTCCAGGAGCAGAGCTGGAGTAAAGTGACTGGGTGTGACCGAAGACTAGGAACCCCGGGTGGGGGGGGGGGGGGAGGCTGGGTCCTACTCCAGGAGCAGAGCTGGAGTCTTGCTCAGCTGCCTGAGGGGCAATTAGAACCTCCTGACCAACATGCACAGGCAGTTAGATCCCAGAGTAGAGCAGGAGAGCCTGCTGTCTACTTACGCAGGTTCTGAGCAGCAGGGGCCTAGTTGAACCTTGCCGTAAACCCGCTCGGAGAGTACTGTCGCCCCCAGCATTCCTCTGCGGGGCAGTGCCCTCCAATAGGCCTGGGGAGAGTGTTTGGAAGTCTCTAACATAACCCTCTGTAACCCCAGGAGAGAGGAGAACTCCCGGAGTCCTGCACGACGTGGGCCTGGCCGGCCAAGGAAGCGCAAACATTCAAGCTCACTGCCCACTCTGCGTCCTGGGGGTCAGCTTGCCAGGAGCGAAGGCAAGAAAGCAAAGTGAGTCTGGAGTACGTGGGGCAAGCCTGGGCACCAAGAGGGTCACGATTCAGGAATTGCTGGTTCCCTGTACTCAATGTCTGAAGGCCTAGTATGTCCCCCCAAAAACCTGAGGCCTTGACAAGTGTCCAAGAGATAGAGAACTCTGCTGGGCACTGGCACCGTCCAGCACAGACCTCCTCTTCCCGGCATGGCCACCAGCGTCAGCGCCCCCTTCTGGGAAGCCACAGCCTAGACTTGGCTGCACCAACTTTGGGGACCTAAGGCTGTGGCATCACCCCACCAAGCCACCAGCCAGCCCTGGCCCCTTGCGTGCGAGGCGGCGTTGCGTAAAAGGCTCTTTATCTGCACTGTATGAAGTCGTTGGTCACGCTGCACTGCTGCTCACGGCTGCCGCGCGATGTTATTATCCATTACCCGCCCGGCGCCGTCGTTGGCGTACTCCCGGGCCGGGTATAATTGTCCTTCTCGGCTACAAATTGCCTCTCCCGGCAGGCCCATTTGCATAAATCCTCCGAGCTCCTCCAAACACGATTGGCGCGCACGCGTGTGCTCTGCATCAATCCTGATGATTTGGTAATAATAGTTAAATCGGCACTAAATGGTTCCTTCAATTAAGACAGAGGCAAAAAATTAATCTCAGGGCTTTATGTCACAAAACATTAGCAAATGCAGAGAAGGTTATGGGGCGGGGGAGTTTGTGTGGGCTGCAGGCATTGGAGAGGCTTCACCATATGGCTGGGGGCCTCGCTGAGATGTCCCGTTGCCCTACCCAGGTGTCACCCAGCAGGGACCTGGAGGGCCTTCCTTTGAGAATCAGTCTACAGCCTGGGGACTGTTGGGCAGGATAGGGCCACTGGAGGTTGAGGTTCAGTGGAGGGCATTGTCCACGGCTAAAGGACAGTGATGTACCCCCAAACTTGTCCTCTCTGGCCCTAACCCGCTCTGACTACATTGCCCGCGCTGGACTCTGTCCCAAGTTCCAGCAAGTAAGTTTAGCCTGTGGCCACTGCAACCAAGTTCTATGACCCAGAGAATCCAGCAGCCTTAGGCTGAGAAAGATCTGCAGCCAGATCCCTCTCTTTCCAAAGAGTGGGTTTCCTGGTGGTCTCCCCACTTCCAGCTCCTGTCTGGACTCTAAAGCCGTGTTCCAGAACCCAGTGGGGTAGCAGGCCTTGGGCCCCAGGGTAGGCCTCCTCCATGCAGGAAGAGGAAGTGTGAGGCCGAGCAAGGCGGCAGGAAGCTGGGGGTCAAGGAGGCTCCCAGAGCTGCAGGGGCTTCCTGCCTGGCCTCCCCTGCCTTCAGAAGTCCAACCTCCTTGCTGGACAGGAAGGTGGAGAGCGGCGTCTGGCCATATGAGGTCAGGGCCAGGCCAGGCCCTTAGTCCCCATCTGCCTCCCTCTCCCTCTGTTTCCCTCTCCTGTGAGGGCTGAGGGGCTGACAGGTGGGGGAGGCCGGACCCCAGCCTCTGCCCAGCCACGGGCAGACAAGCTGGTTTCCTCATAGGAAGGGGGTGCTAGGAAGGAAATGAAATCACATGCTGAGCACACTGGGATGTGGGGGAGACACAAGCCTGCGCACGTGACATGAGGATAGAGGGGTGTGGAGGGAGCAGGCGGGATCAATCCCTCTTACTGTTTTCCTCAGTAGCTGGGTGACCATAGTGGCCCCTGAGCTACCTACCAGCCTAGAGGAGACAGCTCACCATGGGACATGGGAAAATTAAAGCTGGATGAGTCGGGGGGCCACCAAGGACCACCAGGAACTTCAGCAGGTGGAAGGGACTGACTCGAAAGCTTAGCACTAACTGACACCCCCCCAAAAATCGAGCCGGTCCCCCTGGTCCCATCTGGAAAATGGGATGACCGCAAGCTTCCTTCCTAGGGTCCTGAATCAGGGACCTGGCTCCCCAGCAAAGTCCGCTGAGGTCCAGGAGTATGAAGCCCACCTTCCTCTGACTCTTGTCCTTCCCCTGTCCCTGATGGGAGTGGACCCTGTTTGTGTCCCCACATCCTTTTCTCCCTCCCCCACCTCTTTTCAAAGACAAGTTCTGCCTAAGGTATTCCTGACTGGCCTCTAACAATCTCGCTTCATCCTCCTAAGTGCCGGGATTATTGGTGTGTACCAGCAGTTAGCCATATCCCAAGGGCCTGACCCAGACTTGAGCCATTCCCTGCCCCAACTCCACAGACCTGAAACACTGAGGTTAGATAGTGACACAGCCCTGGCTCATAAGCACCGGGGTAGATCCCAGTGACCCAGTGACTTTGCCAGTCCCCAGATCCCTCTCCCTGGGTCACCAGCTTATGATTGTCACAGCAAGGACATCCCAACCCAGCAGGGAGATGAGTGGGAGATGGGAAAGATGTCCTGTTCCCACCTCCTGGTGTTGGTGGTCAGCAGTCAGAAGGGACTAGCCAGGAGGATCAGTACTGGCTGGACACCCCAGTCCTGCACATGGGCTGCCCCTCATGCTGATGCCCAGGTCCTGCTGCTGGGCTCACCCTGTGCCCACCACTGCCATCCCCCTAGAGCCGTCCGTGCTAGCCTGAGTCTGCTGTGTGCTGAGCTACGAGGCGATGCGCCCACAAGGAAGCGAAGCAAACTGGAAAAGAGTGCCTACACAGGCCTGCAGACAGCCTCCTCGGTGAGTGTCCCGGCCTCCACCCTTACCCCGGTGGGCACCATACATGAGATACTGGGCATGAGACAGTGAGCCCAGGTGAACCAGCCAGATTTTGGTGAGTTTTGGATTCCTTGATTAAAGGGATACGTATCTATGGCCAGAGGAGCTATTGCCCCCACCACACTGGCAACAACTTTGCCTGTGTGGCTTGTCACTGGTTCCCTGAACCACCACCGCTACCACCCCCAACTCCAGTAGAAGAAAACTCTATATGAGTGTAGTGAGAATGGAAATCCACAGCCATGATTCGAAACACCATGTCTCCAGCACCAGGTGAAATCCTGGGTCCTTCTACTTTTCTCTCTCTCCAAGGTCCTAGGCCCAGTGTTACCTAGTCTGTCACCTCCCACATTGGAAGGCTGTTTTATTTTTGTTTGCTTGCTTGCTTGCTTGGTTTGGTAGTGGTGATGGTGGTTTTAGTCTCGGTACCTGATTATATAGAACTTGCTCTGTAGATCAGGCTGTCCTCACTTGTAACTATATTCCCATCTTGGCCTCCTAAGTGCTGTAGGCACGGGCAGGATGCAGCCTGGTCATTCCTAGGACATCCTAAGGAATTCTTCACAAAAGCAAACAGCGTATACCATGACAGACAGGAATTTCTAGCTCTCGGCCTCCCCTGTTCTACCCTCCAAAGCTGAATGGGGGAGGGTTGGTAGATGGGTATGGTGTTTGCACCAGTAGGCGGCCCTACGTCCCAGGCCAGATGTCCTCGGGACCCTTTTCAGGGCAAGTCCCCAAGAATGCTATTTTCTGGGCCCCCCTGCAGCAACAGAGGAAGTCACAGGCCAGGGGCTGTGGCTGGGACCGTGCCTGATGGTGCAGCTTTCTCCTCCCCTCCACAGGAGAAGGTGCGGTGCAAGAGGAGTGGTGGCCAGGCCGAGTTGTCGTCCTCCGTGGCCCACAGGGTGGCCCAGCTGAAGCCACGAGTCAAGAGCAAGGGGCTTCCCGCAGGCCTCGCTGCTTTCCAGCGCAAAGAGGCTGCCCCAGGTGGGCGCATCCGGAAGAAGCTCTCTAGAGCCAAGAGTGTCCAAGTGTCAGGGGCAGCACAGCATCCACACCCCGATGGGGACAGTGGCAGGGGCATGCCCAAGTTCCCAGCCCAGCCATCAGTGGCTGTGGCGCAGGAGGCAGGCAAGTTGGCTTGTGAGTGACAGAAGCCTGGGCCACGGTCACTCCGGGGCTGAAGGCAGGGTGCCCAGGGGTTATGGCTACCACAGGAACCAAGTGAAGTCTGTGAAATGGTTAGGTCCAGGGACCACTTCTTGTTGAGGAAGGCTGGGGAAGGAAGGAGCCTTTGTCTCCAGGCCACGGCTCGGAAGTTCTCTGCTCAGGGCAGCAAGAGACTCTGGACACACCCTGGAAACACGTTAAAAATAGCCTTCCCACCTCTGCCCTCAGCATCCGGCGAGTTGGTGGGGTATCTCTTCCTTCCCCAGCAGACAAGTCCAGAAACAGCCTGGAAAAATAGACACTTCCTCCCTCCCAGCTCCTCCTCCAGGGTCGGAGACTGAGGGAGGGCAAAGGGAAGTACTACCGTTTTGGGGGCAGGAAGCAAGGGGCCAGCTGGGCCAGCAGATACAGAAAGAGAGGGACTCCCCAGAGGGGAGCCCAGTTCTGCAAGGTGGGGCTGTTCCCTTCCCCTGTCAAACACTCCCAGGGTGGGGTCAGTACCCCAGGTTCCTGTCCCCACCCCTGAGCAGCCCAGAGGATGATAGTGTCTTCGTTGGCCATATTCCCTAGGTCCACCCCAAATAGCCAAATTCCACACCCAGTCACCAAGTCCTCTCTGCTGACCCCCAGGCAGCGGCTATGACAGTGAGGACTGCCAGGCACTCCTGGGGACAGAGGCGGCTTCCAGGGAGCCTGGGTTGGTGCTGCACCAAGGGGCCAGTGTGGCAGTGCTGGGTCCCTCACCTTCCTCCGTGGTCAAGATGGAAGCCAACCAAAAGGCCAAGAAGAAAAAGGAGAGGCAGGGTTTGCTAGGTAACCAAGAAACGGAAGCAGAATGGGAAACGGGGTCCTGTGTACTAGGGTCCCAATGACCACTTCCCTCCCTCCCACAGGGGCCTGCCGCCTATCCAGCCCCGAGGGTGAGGTCAAGATCAAGAGACGGACAGTGAAAAGCAAGGTGGGCCCCAAGCTGGAGCGGCCCCCAGGTGCACCAGGCAAGAAGAAAGCCAAAGGCAAGGCAAAAAGTGGCCTTTGTGCCGAGCCTGGGGCAGCCACCGGCAGGGATGCCCTTTTCAGCCCCACGCGGACCTTTGCTTGCCGTGAGGAAGGCAACAAACTTGCCAGTGAGCGCCTCAAGAGAGCCACGCGCAAGAGCGCCATGTTGCAGCCAGTACTGAGGGTAGGCCTGTGGGGTCAAGTAGGCATCAGGGCGGTCAGTGGGCATCCAGAGGACACGAATGTAGCCTCCCCACTTCCCCACTCAACCCTGAACCCTGAGTCCCAGCCCATGCTGTCTGGAGAAGTCATTCCAGTCCTCACCCCGTCCCTCTGCCTGCCCTTCTTGAGCAGCGGAAGAATGGGGCCTTGTCCCTTGCCCTGTCGTCCCGAAACGCCAAGGCCATCCTGGGAAAGAGCAGGAAGCTGACGAAGGTGAAGAGAGAGACAGTCAGCAAGCAGGTAACAGCCCTCCCAGGCCTGGGGGAGGGGGCGCAGTGGGGGCTCAGCCCCTCCTAGCCTCCTCCCCTGACCCCTGCGGCCCCACCTAGGGCCAGGGCCGAGCTGTGAGCCGACTGCTGGAGAGCTTCGCTGTGGAGGACGACTTCGGGTTTGATGATGACAGCAGCTTCTCGGATGAGGAAGAGGAAGAGGAGGAGGCCGGCGTCCAGCTAAGTGCAGAGCAGAGTGCTGCCCTTGGTAAGCAGGCTAACGAGGGGCCGGGTGCCTGGGGAAGGGGTGGGGGTGGTGGGTGGGCCCACACCAACCTCCAGCACTGGTGTCCTCCCATGCAGCACGGTCCTGCACTATCCACAAGGAGGACCTGCAGGACGGACTCCCTGTACTGATCCCTAAGGAAGACAGTCTGCTGTACGCGGGCAGCGTCAGGACCCTGCAGCCCCCTGATATGTGAGGCCTGGGCCTGGGTGGGAGGAATGCATGCTGGGTCTGACCTGTTGGGGCAGCGAGACTCCTGCAGGGGTCTCACGTGCCCCTGCGATGCCCGCAGCTACAGCATTGTCATCGAGGGTGAGAGAGGCAACCGGCAGCGTATCTACTCCCTGGAGCAGCTGCTGCAGGAGGCGGTAAGGATGGCCCCCGCCTAGGGAATCCAGCCCGGTGGCTTTTCCCACCACCAGGAGGACCTTGGCCTGGCCTTAAAGTGAGTGGCAGGAGCTCACTGTTCACAGACTACTGTTCCTCGGCTCCCTGCAGGTCCTTGATGTCCGGCCACAGTCCAGTCGGTACCTTCCGCCTGGTACCCGGGTCTGTGCCTACTGGAGTCAGAAGTCTCGGTGCCTGTATCCGGGCAACGTGGTTCGAGGTGAGCACAGTTGAGGCCAGGACTAGGGCCAGGGCCGCTCTGAGAGCTCCCCCCTCCACAGTCCAGCTTCCCCTGGGGTTGGAGCAAGGCAGTGGTGGGTCTGCTCTAAGTGCACACTGACACCAATTTACCGGTAGCCTTGAGAACGTGAGAAGGCAAGGGATGGGGGAGGACTCCCACGTCCAGCTAATCAGAGCAGGCCCAGCAGGCTCAGGATCCCAGGACCTGGGTCACCAAATCTCCCATCACACCTGGGCAAAACAGGGCATTAGGGCCCTCAGGGCAGGAAGACTCATGGTCTAAAAGGGAAATGAGCAAATGGGTAAGAGTCTGCTGGATGCTCCCGGGAGGACTTACAGAGAGATGTCTGTGTCGGGAAGCTGTGTATGCCCAGGGGTGGGATCGGTGGCTCTGATGCCAGGTGGCCAACGCGATGGTGCTGGTTTATCAGATGGCCGGTGTAGTCAGGTTGCAGAGGCATCCCGACATCTTTGTTGGCCCCTGCCCTCCCCTGCCTTCTGGCTAGACGGGCTGGCCACATGCTCAGGGTGTGTGCTATTGCAGGTGCTTCTAGTGACGAAGAGGAGGATCTGGACTCGGTGGTGGTGGAGTTTGACGATGGCGACAGAGGCCACATAGCTGTCTCTAACATCAGATTGCTGCCGCCAGACTTCAAGATCCAGTGTGAGCATCTGCCCAAGGGCGGGGCTCTCCCCGCCTGCATCAGCTCCCTGAAGCCCCTTCTAAACGTTGGAAACGTTCCCAATGTTCTGCCCAGGGTGGCAGTCACCCACAGCAGGCCTGTGATGAGCCCCTCTGTCCACTCCACAGGTACTGAACCCTCTCCAGCCCTGCTCGTGTCCAGCAGCTGCCGGAGAACCAAAAAATCATCAAGTGAGGCCCCCCAACCCAGCGAAGCTCCTTCTCCCAGCCTGTCCCCCAAAGTGCAGGATGGCCCCGAAACTTCCAAGACCCCAGGGAAGAAATCCATCAGCAAAGACAAAGCCGGTATTTGTAGAGCTGGGAATGGAGGGATCATGGGGGTTTGCTCACTGGGAGGCATGTGGGGTCGGGGAGGGCTGAGTGGAGGCAGGTGGTGGGCACAGGAGGTACCACTGACTCTACCTGACTTTTCCCTTCCCACCCAGGCAAAGTCGACCTCCTAACCTCAGGTGCCAAGTCCCCCACGGGGGCCTCAGACCACTTCCTGGGCCGCAGGGGCAGCCCTCTGCTGAGCTGGTCAGCAGTGGCCCAGACCAAGCGGAAAGCAGTGGCCGCTGCAGCGGCAGGTGGCAAAGGGCCGGGGGTGCTGCAGAACCTCTTTCAGCTCAACGGAAGCACCAAGAAGCTGCGTGCCCGGGAGACGCTGTTTCCCGTGCACAGTATGGCAACACCCGTGTTTGGTAACAGCTTCCGCGCTGACTCCTTCAGCAGCCTGGCCAGTTCCTACACACCCTTTGTCGGAGGGGCTGCTGCAGGCCTGCCAGGGGGAGCCCACAAGCTGCTTCGGGCCAAGAAGGCTGAGCGGTCAGAAGCAGAAAAGGCAGGGAGACGGCGGACGGGCAGTGAGTTCCTGGTTAAGCTGGACCATGAGGGTGTGACCTCTCCTAAGAACAAAAACTGCAAGGCTCTGCTCATGGGCGACAAGGACTTTGGCCCCAAGCTGGGGAGGCCGCTAGCCAGCCCCAGTTATGCACACCCAGCCCTCATGGGCAAGGACAAGAAGGGGCGGGCGCCTGTGCACCCACTACCGATGGGACTAGCTCTGCGCAAGTACCCGCTGCCCTGCGACAGTGACTGCCCCAGCTCCTACTCGGATGAGGATGAGGATGGGCCGGGGCTGGCCACTGGTGTGCCCTCCCGCTTCCTCACCCGCCTCTCCATGTCCTCCTCCTCGTCGGGATCCTCCACGTGCTCCTCCTCAGGCTCCGTGTCCACCTCCAGCCTCTGCTCCTCGGATAACGAGGACTCCTCCTACAGCTCAGACGATGAGGACCCTGCCCTGCTGCTACAGACCTGTCTCGCCCGCCCTGTCCCCGCCCTGCTGGCGCCACCTGAAGCCCTGCGCTCCAAGGGTAGCAGCCCCCATGCCCACGCCCAGCGCTGCTTCCTGTCCAGGGCCGGTGTGACTGGTGCAGGCGCTGGCGCTGGCCCCAGTGGTGTTAAATCCAAGTTTAAGCGCAAGGAGGCCCTGAGCTTCTCCAAAGCCAAAGAGCTTTCTCGGAGGCAACGGCTGCCCTCCGTGGAAAACCGGCCAAAGATCTCGGCCTTCCTGCCTGCCCGGCAGCTCTGGAAGTGGTCGGGGAACCCCACACAGGTAGGTGGGCTGTCTCCCTGAGGCAGAGTGTGATGTCAACAGAAAAGTGGCTCCCTCTTGCTCCCTCAGACCCCAAACGCTTCTTCTGTAGGTGTCCTTCACTTTCAGATAAACCATTCAGGGACCAGGCATGACTCAGTGGCCGGGAGCACATACTGCTCTTGCTGAGGACCTGGGTTCAGTTCCCCGCACCCTCGTAGGGCAGCTCACAACTGTAACCGTAACTCCAGTCACAGAGGGATCAGTACATAAACATAATTTTTTAAAATCTCAAACCATTTGGAAACTCCCAGGCAACAACAAAAACCCACCAGTAGCCTAATGAACCTGCTAGCCAGTGCCATGATTTGCACAGTAGAGACACAGGTGCCGGAGCATATCGCATGCTTGCTCCCCGCGCTCTGTGCCACTGAGGAGCCTTTGCTGCTGCTCAGCCAGCCAGCTTTGGAAGGCTGCAACGCACCACTGCCCAGACACACGGACGGCTTTCTTTGGTGGACCTGTGCTGATTGTAGGCTTTCTATTTGTGTTGTGTTATTTTTGTTGGTTTGTGGCAGAGTCTCTCTGTGTAGCCCCTTGGCTGGCCTTGAACTCTCAGAGATCCACCTGCGTCTACCTCCTGAATGCCGGAGTTAAAGAGTTAAAGATACCGTGCATCATCTTGCTCAGCTGTGTGTGGGTTGTTTTGTTGTTGTCGTTTGGTCACTGTTGCTGTTGTTTGTTTTGCCCGTCTAAGCCAAACTACAGTGAGCATCTCATGTGCTCTGCCCTCAGATCCCATGTGACTTTGGAGTCTGTTAGTCTTTCTGTCATGACCAATATGCAAAGAGAATCCAAGCGTAGCCCACCTCATAAGGACTCTGGCAGTGTCCCTTCTCCACCCACTGTGTGGCCGTTTTCTGCCCTTGCCAACACAGATAAAGACCCACCATCCGTCCCTCCTGCTTGCTCTCAGTTTCCCCAGCCACCACCTTCCCTTAAGGGCCCCTCCTCACCACCGTGTGTCTGCTGGTCTGCCCTGCAGAGGCGAGGCATGAAGGGGAAGGCCAGGAAACTCTTCTACAAGGCCATTGTCAGAGGCAAGGAGACGCTGCGCATCGGGGACTGTGCGGTCTTCCTGTCGGCCGGACGACCCAACCTGCCCTATATCGGCCGCATCGAGAGCTTGTGGGAGTCATGGGGCAGCAACATGGTGGTGAAGGTCAAATGGTTCTACCATCCCGAGGAGACCAAGCTGGGGAAGCGGCAGTGTGATGGGAAGGTGAGGTGCGGGCAGGCGCACTGGGGCCCAGCCCCTGCACAGGGCCTCAGGGAGAGAGATCAGCAGCCAGCATCGCCTTGTCCTGGTGACCTCCCCACGCCCACGGTCTTTCCCAGGTGTGGGGCTATGCCTGCTAGGACCATTCTCAACCTTGTGCCCTTTCCCGGCAGAACGCCCTGTACCAGTCCTGCCACGAGGATGAGAACGACGTTCAGACCATCTCCCACAAGTGCCAGGTGGTCGGGCGGGAGCAGTATGAGCAGATGATGCGGGGCCGCAAGTACCAGGACCAGCAGGACCTCTATTACTTGGCGGGCACCTACGATCCTACCACCGGACGCCTGGTGACAGCCGACGGTGTGCCCATCCTGTGCTGAGCTGCCTCTGCCTCTGCCCACCCTCGTCCATGGCTGCGGCCAAGAGGTCGGCTAGCCAGGAGCTGGTCTGAGCAAATATGCAATCCTCCAAGGCGGGGTTAGGCTTCTCCTCGCGGTTCTCTGGAGAGGGTTCCTAGGCTGGACTCCGGTCCCATCCTAGCTGCTCCAGAGGGAGGGCCAGCTGGTCCCACGGGGATTGGCTGCCCTGCCCCTGCACCGCAGTTCTCGAGAGATTAGAATCCAAGCCATATTTCCCTAGTACCTCCGACTGTCTCCCACCAGGGAAAGCAGAAATCAGGTGTGTTGTCTATTTATTTCTCTATGTAAATATTGTATTTCTGTGGGGAAGTTTTATTGGGGAAAAAATGGAAAAGGATTCTTTTTTTCCCCACCTTCGTGACAAGGGTGGGGAGCGTGAGAAGGGTGTGTATGTATGCACATGCACACATACGTGTGTGTGTGTGTGCAGGGTGCGTGTGCGTGCGCATAGGGTGCGTGCAGGGTGTGTGTGTGTGTGTGTGTGTGTGTGTGTGTGTGTGTGTAGGGTTTTGTCCTGGGGTTTTCTTTGGAAATGCACTGTTCTCAGCCTAGTTGAATTCCAACAGGGGCATCTGTGACTGCAGAGGCTGCTGGAATGGGGGCAAGGCCAAAGGCCATGGGATGGTCACACGAGACCCAGTCACATCCTCTAGTCTCTCGACATGGGGGGCCAACTGTGTGAAGGAAATTACACTCCGGTTATTTCCTTTCAATACATCCCATACATAGATGTATTGGGGTGGGGCGGTGATAGTGGTCCCCAGGAAGGAAAGGGGTTCCAGCCACAGGATGGAAACAGCCAGGATCGGCCTGCCCCACTCTGCGGCCTAGGAGTATGGCAGCAGCCATATATATCTTACCTCTGTTTGAAACAAAACAAATGAACAAATATTTTGAAGTATCAATAAGAAACATGGATGTTTAGGCTTCCTTTCCTGAATATTCCGAGTTATCTCTGGTTTCCGTTCCCACAGCCGGTTTGTTGCAGGGAGAGAAGCCTGGCCTCACTCAAGCAGGGTGTAGTTGGCCCCTCGCCCCCTCTCCACCCCTACCACTTCTCAGCCTCTTCCTTAACCTTCAGGGCACCAATTGCCTCCCCCCTCCCAAGAGCAGCAGGGGCTTCCACAATGGTGCAGCTGGGCCAGGTCCCTTCTGGGCCCGAACTTGGGGCCCACCTGGGACTGGTCCACAGTTTTTCATGAGTACCTCTTCACCAACGGGACTCCCCTTTTCCCATCGGACTTTCCCTGCTCCCCCCCCCCCCACCTCTGGCTAACCTCAAGTGTGGATGATGGTGAGGCTGGGCCAGAGGTGCTGGCGTAAAAAGGAACAGTAGATCGGCAGGTGCTGCTCACCCAAGGGGAAGAGGCCCATCCGGTTCCCTTTCTCTTAACCCACATCCTGGTCCTGCGACCCCTCTGTCCACCCCACCCCTCGTGATGGTTTCTGGACCTTTTTCTATAGCCACTCAGCAGGGCAGATGGCATGGCAGGATCATGCATGGAGTATATATCAAGAGTCCCTTCTGGCCCCTTGTGCCCACACCCTGGCCCCAGCAGCCCTTCTTATCCCATTATGGGAAGAGCGGGCTAGACCTCAGAAATGCCTTGTGGCACACATGCTCCCCAAAGCCCCGCCAGGCCAGTGTTTCCTAGGAAGCCAGGAGTATTGAGAGGCGCCTGCCCTAACTGGGACCCTTCAGCCTCCCTTCCTCTGCTCAGGCCTACCAGGCATCTGTCCCAGTTCCAGGGACTTCATTTCTCACAGTCGTCGCTCAAGGGCCCTCTCGGGGTACCCCATTCCCGGCTGTCCCACACCCTGAGGCTTTCTGTTCTCCACATGAGTGCAATATTTCATTCCTGGCGGTCGTCGGAAGAGATGGCCACCAAGGTCCTACTCACGGTTAAGGAATCAGAAAGACGGTGAGCGAAGAAACAGGCGCCAGGACTGGCGCTCGGAAGGTGCTGCTGCTCAGAGTCCCCATACCCGGGGCACCAGAGCACGCAGAAAGGCTGATCTGTGGGCCGCCTTCTGGATGTTTCTTTCTCCCTCTGCTGAGCTGTCCTCTCTGTCTTTACCCCCCCCCTTCCTTTCTGTGTGTACACGCTAATGGCGTGACCCCCTCCTCCCCATCCGTGGCTAACCGTGGCGGAAGCACGATTCTTGTAAATGTGTAAACTAAGAGGCGGGTTGGATTTTTTTTTCAATGTAAACACTAAATACAAAACAAACAAAAAACACAAAGGTTTTATGAACAGCAAACTCTATGTAAAGGCATTTTAGTATTAAATTTTTTATTGATAACTTGCTTAAGAATAAATATATGAACTATTGTACAGGTGCTCAATAGTCCAGATTGTGACTGTGCCTGCCTCCTGTAAGTGTGTCACGTGGTCCGTTCCTGTCCGGGCTGGGAGAAGACTGAGGGCCTAGAATGGGTTTAGGTGACCTCAGGCTTAGAGACACAGCTCTACACCACCCCAAGTCATAGGCCCTCGGTCCTAGTCCTGGACTTGTTAGTCAGGTATGAATGATGGGTTGGTCACCTGTCCAACTTGAACCAGATCAGCTAGCCATGTTAGAGCCCACAAACACAAGGCAACGGGGAAGGGTGGCCGCAAACACAGCTCCACACTGTGAACCCTGCCTTAGTGAGGGTCTGAATGGATTTGTTCAACAAAAACATCTCTCCCAGACAGCTGTGCAGAGAATAATAAATAGTGATTCTGATGGGCCTGACAGTGCACACCTTTAAATCTCAGTGCTCGAGAGGCAGAGGCAGATGGGCCTCTGAGTTTGAAGATCGCTCGGTCCTCCATAGCAAGTTCCAAGCCAGCCAGGATTACGTAGCAAGACTCTGTCTCTTGGCAGGGAGGGAGTAAAAGTTCTAGTGGTTAAGCAGAGAGTTGACTAAGTGGGAGAAGCGAGGACCAGGCACCCCCCAATCAGGGAGTTGCAGACCCAAAGAAAGCCCAACACTGGCAAGGCGACACGGCCGTGGTTGGTAACTCACTATGGGTACTCTGAGATGGGACTTCAGGGCAAGGCAGATGAGAAACAGCAAGGTTGGTTCTGGGAGTGGAGCTGGGTCCTTAGCTTTGCACCTCCATGTATAAGAGCTTGGTTGTGCATACACACACACACACACACACACACACACACACAGAGCCCTGCCTGGCTGACGTGTCTCTCCGCTATCACCTCCCTGCCCGCCACTGAACTACTTTGCTTCGAGACCCTCCTCTCAGGGAAGCAGGATAAGGTCTCCTGCCTGTGTGCTTCAGCAGGTACCTGCTACAAAGACTGCCACCGGATTCTTCAGCCCATTCCAAGTCCCACCCAGGCCATAGAGCTAGGTGCCCAGGGTGCTGGCAGACTCGTCAGCTGTGTGTGGGGCTGTAGACTGCCCTGAGATTATCCGAGGCCATCACCTTTGGGACAGGTATCCTGTCATTCCCGGCTGCTCAGCGGGTACTGCCTAGCGCCCACGCGGAGTCTGAGACGAAGGGAAAGTTGGAGTCAGGGGTGCAGGAGCACTGGGCTCCCGGCTCGGGGACCCTCTGTGGACTTGAGATGTCCAGCTGCAGGAACTTGGCTTCTTGCTGGGCACAGGGGGGCTGGGTGTCGCATGGCTCCCGGAGCCCCTGAGACAGAAATGTTAACAGTGTCATCCTCTGCCCATTCAAGCCTGTTTTATGGGGAATGTAGCTCGGTGGTAGAATATTTGCCTGGTATGTGCAAGGCCTTGGGTTTAATCCCAGTAACATACACAGACCCCAGAGAAGTGGGGGGGCGGGGGCATAAAAGGCTTGCTTTGCTCAGGAGCCCTGATGCAGGAAGATAGGTAGGACCAGAGCCTAGAGGGTGTCGGTGACATCTGCCATGAAGCCTGGCAAGAGCCCCCGCCAGCAGGCCTTGGGCCTCTCTCTGGCCAGCTCCACTGCAGTCAGCAGTGCTAAGCAGTAAGCATGGCAGGGAGCAGCTGAGCAGCCAGCCACCAAGACACCGTGTCTCCAGAACCCCAGACAGGCAGGCGGGAGAGACTGGGAACAGCTGCCCAGCAACTGTATGGGGGCCAGGTGGCCAAGCTAACTCCCTCACAGCACCACGGGGTGGGTGCTCTCCTTTCCAGCCCAGAACAGTGCCAGGGCTTGCACAAGGCTCTCGATGTGGATAGTCATGGCCCGTGAAGCAAGCCCCTCTGGTTGTCCCTGAGTTGATCTAGGCAGCTTCCTGAAGAAGGGGGTCCCAAGTAGGGCAGAGCAAGTGGAAGGAAGATGGTGGCCAGAAGGTGAGGTGCTGGAGCAGGAGGATGGCAGGATGGAACTTGTAATGATCTGCTGGCAAGCAAGTAGCCTAAGAGCGCCAGGAGTCCACAGATATGTCTCCCTTGGTGGCCTTGGGTCAGGGTTAAAGGGGCCAGGCTGGTCCAGGCTCCAAGAGAGATTCTGCACCAAGACAAAGGCCCTAGTGTGGGGGAACTCAAGGCGGGATTAATGCATGCTGCTCACAAACCACGACGTGGGGCATGCTTCAGGCGGGCTGCTACTGACTGCATCATACCTGAGTCAGTGCCCAGTGTCAGGACCTCCCCTAGGAGCCCTAAGAGACACGGTAGGACATGGGCGACACGGTGGGACATGGGCGAGCCAGATCAGACTCCCAGTCTGGCTTCACATCTCAAGGTTCCCTCTGCTCCCTCCTCCTCCCTCCTCCAACCTTGCCTCAGACACTGTGGTCCTGGCCTTCCAGAACCTGCTGCTCTCAGAACAGGGCCCAATGCAAGGGCAGGATGGACACGGGAAGGACGCAGGCTGCGGCACCCCGAGGGTTAAACATGCAAGACTACACTTTGATCAAGACAAACGAGCCATTATGTGAAATGCTGAAGCAAGATAGATGATGGTACTGGGTGGGTGAGATCAATAACAGTGATGTTTTATCAGGTAGAAATGACAACCTGGCTGATCGCAATTCGTTTTTAATACTACGAACCGATTGGAGACGAGGGGGCTTTAATTGCTGGGCCTCAGCCCTGGCAAGGTTGCCGGGGGCTGGTGGGGCATTGAAACCACTTAGGCCAGGCAAAGGGGAGCCCTCACCAGCGCTGAACTTTGAGAGGTGCTCGGGGTCTGTGGGGGTCACAGCCTGACCTGTGTCTGAAGCATCAAGGGGCAAGAGACAGGTAAGGAGGGGCAGCCGTGGCTCTCGTGTGGGCTAAGGAAGCTCCCGAAGTAACCAGCCAGAAGAATGGCTGGGCCGTTCCCTGCGCTTAGCACTACTCTCCTGCCACCACGCCTGTACCAGGACCCCATGGAGGATCTCAGCCTCTCCTCTTTGCTGTCCCCTCACCTCCTGCAGACCCAGCCTTACACTTTCTGAGCCACTCCTGGTCACACACCCCTTGGGTCTCCACAGGCCACCTGCTCAAAATAGCCTAAGCAGCGACGAACTTCCCTCTAGGCAGACACATCCAGTCCTCTGTCCCCCAAGCACCAGACTACGGCTGGCTGGACCAAGAGGCCATGACCCAGCCCTCCAGCCTCCTCTGGGGAGAGACAGGCAAGGCAAAGGGCCAGCAAGCAAGATGGGAGCCCAGGACCTGCAGCATCTGTTGTCTGGTTTCACTCTTCTATCACCTAAGAATCTGCACCGTTTCCACAGACCTTGTCCCCAGCCTGCTGAGAATAGGATGAGGGTTACAGGAGCCAGGCGGTGGTGGCACACACCTTTAATCCCAGCGCTCGGGAGGCAGAGGCAGGTGGGTCTCTGAACTCGAGGCCAGCCAACTACAATAGCTAGTTCCAGAACAGGCTCCAAAGCTACAGAGAAACCCTGTTTGAAAAACCAAAAAAGACCGACCCGGGGGGGGGGTTGGAACCAGCATGTGGGCGGGGATAACCAGGGGTCCCCAAGAACTCAGCTCCCATGTAGGAAAAATACACTCCCAGGTCCACTGTTTCAACACCTCCTGGTGGGACTCGGACACAGAGACATAACAAGTCCTCAGTTGGACAACAATGCAGGCAAAATAGGCTTCTGCCTGCTGTCGAGAGACGTGATCCCAGCCTCTCTCTTCCCAGCAGCTCCTTGAGGACCAGGTGGCAGTGGGTTATCTTGGGGTGTCACCCTGTGTTGCTTCGTATTCACTCATCTCTGAGAGCAGTACTGAATGTTAAGGTGTCCACCTGCCCTACCCACCGTGATAGATCTGAGCTAGACCTCTCTCCGCACTTGTACGGGGCCCCCATAGAAAAACTTGGCAGGAGCATAGAGGATCCCACAGCCGGGCAGGCTGAGGCAGAGGCATGCAGAAGCTGTTGACAGCGAGGAGAGGCGTCCAGGAGTGAGGGGGTCCCAACCGGGCCATTCAACCTGTATCTCCTTAGCCCCACAAGCCTACTCTCAGGAGAGTATCCATCAGATTTACTGAGGGCCACACCCCTGAAGGGATGGAGGGGTGCTGTGGCCCCTTGAACAGCTCTGGAGAACCCACACCCTCTTCACCAGGAGCCTGGGACCAACTCTGGTAACAACAAAAGCCAGATTGGTGACTCGCGGCTTGGAATTCAGATAGAGAGAAGTGGATCAAGCCGCTGGAAGCCATCCTACTACAGACAGGGCTATGGGGGAGGGGCTTTGCGCTGGGAGTGAACAGTGGTTTCTGCAACTCCCACCCCGTCTGCAGGGGCTCTGACCCCCAGCCCCACCCAAAGGAATCCTAAGAGTACCCAGCCCGTGCAGACAGGAGAATGGGTCTTGCCTCCATCCTAGCGCTGTGTTTGGGGCAGTATTAAAGGATCGTCCTCTGGACACTGTGTCATTTTTGCATTCCAGGCACGTTTGACCTCCATACCAGCCACTGGAGTCCTGAGGGCTTGCGGGAGGGCCTCCTGAAGCTGCAGACCCCAGCAGCGGAGCAGCTGCCAAGTCCAAGGAGGGTTTGCAGGAAGTGGGAAGCCGCCCTGTGGGTTCCGTGCCCCACTGTGAGTGGCCTCCTGGGAGTGTGCAGGGATATTCCACGCGTGTCATTGTGCCATTCCGGCTGTAGTGTCTGCAGGTCCCCTCTGCGCTGTCTTCCTGTCTGCTCACTGGGGCACCCCAAGGCGGGCAGCGCACATCCAGATTGTAAATGTGAGAGATGACCTTACCACCGCCCTCCTCCAACTCAGTCCCTTAGCAGGGGATTTGCAGCCCCGATGGCAACCAGAAGTGGCCTGGAGGTAGTGGTGGTGCACACTTTAATCCCAGCACTCGGGAGGCAGAAGCAAGCAGATCTCTGTGAGTTCAAGGCCAGCCTGGTCTACAAGACTTAGTTTCAGGACAGGCTCCAAAAACTACAGAGAAACCCTGTTTCGAAAATCAAAAAAAAAAAAAAAAGAAGAAGAGAGAGAGAGAGAGAAAGAGCCCTGTGATGGTGTCCTGGGCCATCAGAGAGGAGCTCCAAGCACAAGGCTCCTCTACCTTGGGCTGTGATCCAGACCTGTATAACACAGCCTGTTTTCTTCTGAGCTGTCTTGTCTGTCTTTCCATCCTCCCTAGGTTAATTGGGAGCCCACATGAGATCTCACTTTGCCCAAATTTCCAAGCAGTCCCCTGCTCCCCCCCCCCCACAGTTGTGGGGTGGCCTAGAGATCCTCCTCACAATTGGTTTGCTGAGGAGGGAAAGTTAAAACAGCCATTTTTATTTGGGAGCCTCCAAAGGAGTTTATGATCTTGCCCCTTGTCAGGAAATCTGTCTCCATTTAGGAGAAGCCGTCTCCAGGCTGAGGTGAACAGGGAAGTGAGGAGACGCCACACTGTGGGTAATTACATTTCCCCCTCCAGGTCCCCGGCTGCCCTCTCTGACCCTAAGCACTTAGGCCTAGGGCACCCCAAAGGCCTGAAATGTCTCCCATTTGGGGGTGACTGCAAGACTAGAGCTGGACAACCCACACAAAAGAGCCAATGCAGAGGACTGGAGGTGGGTGTGGAAGAGACCCTGACAGGACGAGGACCAGGGTACGGGGCAGCCTGAGGCTAGGCTATACACACTTTGAGGCAGAAAAGGTGCCTCAAAGATGATGGTGATCTGAGGTGTCTGCTAGGAGGCATCAAGCTTCTAGCACACAGGACTTCAAAGTTTGGAGCCCATTAAAACCCCCCCAGCCTCAGGGCTCAGGATCCAAACTTCTCCAGCAACAATGGGGAGCCTACTCAGTGTCTACAGACTCCAGGGAAGTCTCCCCTGTTCTCAGTTGGTTCTGCAGACTGACATGTGCCTCTCTAGTCACGTGACTCAGCACTTCCACCTCCCACAATCATGGTGATTGGCTTTAGGGTGAGCATCTGACCCAGGACGAGCCAATCAGAGCTTTCTCCTAGAGAACAAGCTTAGTGCTTCTTGGGAATGGTCATCAAGGGACCTTATAAACCCTCAGTGGTCACTCTAGCAGAAACCAGACTGTATGATAAGCTGCTGAATAAATTTCAGAACTTTGGATTTAATTTGAATTTAGAGAAGGAGGAAATTTTTTGTAGCATAAATGTTGCATGAAATATTTGGTATATACTTATGCTAAAAATGACTCACTCTTTGTCTGAAGTTTGAATTTAACCTAATAATTTGTATTTTGTTGGTTAAGTCTAGCAACTGTGAAATCCAGCTGTCCAATTCAAACTGGGTATGCCCCCCCCTTTGCCATAAACAGGTGCTCCCAGCTGTCCAGCACAGGGTAGAAAGGATGTAAACAAAAGGGGTTGTGCTGGGCCTCCCTCACCCCAAGTGAGAAGGCCTGCTAGCCGAAAGTGTGGCAGCCAGCTTTGCAAACAGTTCCTTGTAGGGTGGCAGCCCAGCCTCAAGTAGACAACTGAGCCCGAATAGCATTCTCTGAAGGAAAACACACAAAAGCGAAACAAAGCAAACCTCCAAGGGTTGACAAGAAGCATGGGGCAGCTGTCTCTGCGTCTGAGGCTCAAGGAGGTTTGTGGCATAGAAAGCAGAAGACTTGTTGGCCTGTGCCTGACTGCACATCACCGAAGGCACACATGGGGACATGAACAGGGCATGTGACCTCCCAGCCAGCCCAAGCTTGCTTGATAGGCTTGTGGACACAGACTACCTCATCACGAGTCTCTGCGATGTGCACAGTGGCCCTGGCACAGACTACCTCATCACGAGTCTCTGCGATGTGCACAGTGGCCCTGGATTCCCACCGGCACATGAAAAGAACACAGCTTGGTAGCTATATGCCTGTAATCCCAGGACTTGGGAGGTAGAGACAGGAGGATTGGGATTCAAGAGTAGCTTGGCCGCAGAGAGAGTGTGAGGGTAGCTTGGCCTACAAAAGAAAAAAAAATTAAAACAAAATCTTCACACTTCTGATTCCAAATGTAATTCCACACTGCTTGGCAGTGCCCCGGCTTCTGTGGGCCCTTCCATCATGGCCCGCAGACAATAAATCTGTTCTTGCCTTAGTGGACACTATCTGAACTGCACAGACCACGGCTCTCTGTAGAGCTCCCCCATCTATCCCCACAGCAACAGAGTGTGAGAATAATTCCACAAGGAGCTTAGTCGTGGCCCGTCCTCACCACTACCTGGGTACCCAGGGCCCTGGTGGCCTGGCGTGGGACCTGACCAGAGGCAGGGTTAGGGACAGGAGTTGGTGTTGTGGAACACTTTACACCTTGTGAAAATGTGTCACTGTGATTGGCTTAAACAAGGACTGAATGACCAATAGCTAGGCAAGAGGAGATTAGGCAGGACTTCAGGGGGACAGAGAAGTCTTGGGGAAGAAGAAAGGCGGAGTCTCCAGTCAGACAAAGAGGAAGCAGGACACACAGAAGGAAAGGTAAAAACCACAAGCTTCACAATAGCACAAAGATAAATAGAAATGGGTTAAGTTATGAGAGCTAGGCTAATGTCAGGCATTCATAACGAATATTAAGCCTCCTGTCGTGATCTGGGGACTGGTGGTACAAAAAACCCTGCGGCAAGTTGGCCACACCAGTGTCCCGGGCTTAGGCTCCAATCTGTGTCAGAGCCTTGCCATCTACAGCAAAACACCAGGTGGCCCCTGGACAAGGTCCCTCAACCATGGCCCCAGGGAGATGGAGGATAGGATGTGGGTAGCACACTGGCCTGCTATGGACAGGGAACCTCAAAACTGTTCCTCTGTGATGTCCATGTGATGAGAGACCTCTGCAACTTTGACAGGACAGGGTTCAGGAGCTGACCCCAGGGGAAAGGATTGGTCCTTCCGCCAGGGCATGGCCCTCCCATCTGCAGCTCTGCCCAGGAACAATGTGGAAACTCAGAATGGGGGCATCTCAAGAAAGGAGGGCACCTTGACTTGTAGTTTCTTGGCTGGGGCCACATGCATTTTCTTTCATATCCTGAAGCAGCTTCAGATTAAACAGAGCATCCTTGTGAGGCCCCAGCACCAAGAAAGAAGAGCACTTCTTGCTTTGGACCAGGGGTGGCCATGGTAACTGTCAGTCATAACCGTGGCCAAGATTAAGGCTCAGGCCGGCATGGTGGGATGCAACATTAATACTGCCAGCACTTGAGAAGCAGAGGCAGGTAGTAAGTTACACCAGTCTGATACAAAACAAGTTCCAAACCAAGGCAACTGTAAAACCCTGTCTCAAAGGGGGGAAAAAGTATAGCAAGGCAGTGGTGGCGCACGCCTTTAATCCCACCACTCGGGAGGCGGAGGCAGGTGGATCTCTGTGAGTTCAAACCTAACCTGGTCTACAGAGCGAGTTCCAGCACAGCCAGGACTACATAAAGAAACCCTGTCTTAAAATTTTTCTTTTTAGGGGCTGGAGAGATGGCTCAGCAGTTAAGAGCACTGCCTGCTCTTCCAAAGGTTCTGAGTTCAATTCCCGGCAACCACATGGTGGCTCACAACCATCTGTAATGAGGTCTGGTGCCGTCTTCTGGCCTGCAGACATACACAGACAGAATATTGTATACATAATAAATAAATAAATAAACATAAAAAAAGAAAAGAAAAACAACACCACCACCAACACAGGTGTACACTACCACACCTGGTGGTAGGAATTTAAAAAATTTTTTTTCTTTTTAACTAACTAATAAATAAATAAAGGAGGAGGAGGAGGGGTGTGGGGAAGGGAAGAGAGAGAGGAGGGCAACAAAGAAAGAAAGAGGAAAAGGAAGGGAGAAAAAAGATGCCTGCGTGCAACTTCCTAGCTACTCACTTAAAAAGAGGACAACACAGGCATGGTGGCTCACACCTTTAGTCCCAGCACTCAGGGGGCAGAGGCAGGAGGATCTCTGTGAGTTTGAGGCCAGCCTGGTCTACAGAGCGAGTTCCAGGACAGCCATAGTTACATAGTGGAACCTTGTCTCAAATCCACAAACAACAACAACCAAAGTCTCACCGACTCCTCAAGGGCACCAAAGAGGAGGAGAATGTGAGGAAGGAGACGGGTCCTGTGCTCACCTCGGTGGCACAGACACTGACACTGGAATGATACAGAGATGAACATGACCCTGCACACGGATGATGTACACATTCGCGAAACATTCCACAGTTAGACAGAGAGAGGGAGGGAGCCCCTCGTGGTCAATAGTTCCAGAGCTTTCTTAGCCTGCCTCTCTTCAGGCTGTCCCCAACTGGATTGGGCATACTGATCAGTTCCCTGGGAGTTAGCTTTCTTGTCTGTGATAGGGCTGGTATTGGCCAGACGGCCTCAACGCAGACATGGCTGAGTCCTGCATGTGGCTATAGAGTCAGCAACAGCTGTCCATCTCCTGCTTTCAACGTCAGCAGTTTTAACCAGGAAGAGCCCCAAAACCACCCTCCCCTTTTCCTCCGGAGTAAAAACTTTATCTCCCAGCTTCCTCTGCAGCTATGTGGAGCTGTTAAACCAAGTGGGTTTTTTTGTTTTGTTTTGTTTTGTTTTTCTGAGACAGGGTTACTCTGTAACAGAGCCCTGGCTGTCCTGGAACTCGCTCTGAAGACCAGGCTGGCCTCGAAATCTCAGAGATCCGCCTGCCTCTGCCTCTTGAGTGCTGGGATTAAAGGCATGCACCACCATGCCCCGTGTGAAGTTGAGTTTTGACCAAGATGGTTAACATGTAATGGCAAGCACCTTAAACACGGAGCTGTGCCTTTTCTCTCTTCCTGCTGGTTGGAGTGTAGATGGAAGGCGCATGTTAGCATCCTTTTTAATATGAGAAGGAAGCCACATTTGAGAGCAGCAGACAAGACAAGAACCTGACTTTCTAACGATAGACACACTGCATCTCAGGGCTTTCCAGTCACAAAACCCCTCCCCCTTCCCCCGTCCATGACTCCACTCTGCAATTCTCTGGCACAAGACCCCCAACCCCGTTCTGCCAGGATGCCCTTTAAGAGACCCTGTAGCCCTGAGGGACCCTTTAAGTCCCTGAGGCCACAATCTCCTATAGTTTGATGTCTCTGCTGGGTCAGGCCTTCCAACAGCATGGAACACTCACCCCAGTCTGCAATTATGTATTTATTGCGGGTTTATTTGGCTGCTGCCTTCCCGGGACTGTCATTAACATGGTGGCAGAGCTCCTGCCTGGGAGCTCAGCACTGTGTCCCCAGCATCCACAGGTCTGGGCACAAGAAGGCATCTCCATTTGTCCTCAGCTCCCAGGCCACAGACCCAGAGCCCTGCCCACCCCCACCTCGCAGCCTCCTGCGCTGCCCTGTTCTTGTTGATACCAAAGCCTTCCTGCAGCAGCCCCAGCCCCAGCCCGGCGTGGGCATCTGACTCCGATTTCAGATATGAGGAAAGAGTGGAACATTGACCCCCCACTTCCCAGTTCTCTTCAGGGAGATTGTTTGGCAGGGGTGAGAGACTCCTAGAGAGCTACCGCCCTGCCCTGAGTGACAATGGGTCCACGCAGAAGCCAGCGAACACACTGTGGTCCCAGCACATGTAGGACAGACGTCCAGTCCTACAGAGTAAGCCCCAGGTGCCACAGCAACAACCACAGAGACCCAGACTAGACAGCTTCCCTCAGTGAGGCCAGGCAAAGCGGGTCAGCAGGGGAAGATGAAAGGGGCTCCTGCCTCAGGGAGGGGGTGTGGGCACCAGGGCAGAAGTTCTGCCTCCTAGTAAATGGGTGGAGGTGGCGCATGCCTTTAATCCCAGCACTCGAAAGACAGAGGCAGGTGGAGCTCTGTGAGTTCAAGGCCAGCCTGGTCTACAAGAGCTGGTTCCACGACAGGCTCCAAAACCCTGTCTCGAAAACCAACCAATCAATCAATCAATCAATAAATAAATAGAGGAGCAGACCTGCAATGTGGCTCAGTGGTACAAAGGTTTCCTAGAACATACAAGACACTAGGGTGAATCCCCAGCACCACAAAATGCATGTATGTATGCATGAATACATACATATATGCAGACAGACAGACTATGGATCAGTCTGATGTCCCATTACCACATGTGTGTCTGCAGGAACTGTCACCATAACCATCAGACCAGCCTTTGTGTGTGCTGTCTCCTTCCCTGTTTAGAGCATTTGGCGTCCGCTGGAGGCTCCGGGCTCTATACCGCTATGCCCAGGTTGAGCTACTGTTCTCCAGGTATCCCTGGACCGTCTTCTCTACGGTCTCCTCATTAGGAGGTGATGTCTGCTCTTCCTGGAACGCTGAGGTTGTCCCAACTTCCCAGGGCACCTGTACCCCAACACCATTGGCAGGGGACTGCCTATGTCACCCCCAAAGTATCATTCTCTGGCTGCCCTAGGACACAGAGCAGCTGGATCTGAACCTAACACTATTGGTTCCAGATCTACAAACAGCAGTGTTTAACAGCAGAATTGGGGCTGGCAATCAGAGCAGTCTGTATCTGCTGCCCCTCCTCACGAGAAGGCTGCCTGGGGGAGGGGGAGACAGGCTGAGGACTCTGCGGGCCGACCTGTTGCACTGTGGGACTATAGGACAGCAACTGGGGACAGGTGAGGCCAGCTGCATGTGGGAAGAAAAAGAAAGCTATCCTTACTTGAGTTCACATGCCACAAAGACCTCCCCGACTGCAGCCCGCGCCTGTACTGACAGCTTATGCATGCACACTGAGCCTGTAATTGCCAATTGCAACACTGGACTGCACACAGCACATCCTCCTTGCAGCCACCCAATAATCCTGTTAGTATCACCATATGGAAGGGGGCTACTGCCCGTGTCCCCTGATTTCCATGTGTCAGAGGCCCACGGCACACAACCACATCTGCCAGATGCCAAGTTCTTGGGACACCTGGTGTCAACCCTTCTCCACCATCCAACACCTAATTGTCTTTCAAAGCTGTCTCAAGCACCAAATCCGTCCTTCCCTTGTCCTCATTCTGCAAGAGGGCTTTCTGGACCTCCCGGGGCTGCAGCCCTTCATCTGGGCTTGAGCGTGGTCACACAGTGAACCATAAATTTCTCCAAGCCTGGACTGTGCCCTTTTTCCTTGGGCATCCCCAGGACTGAGTCTATCCTGGTATAGAAGACATCTCCTGAAAGATTTGGTGAATTAGTAAATGCTCCCCGCCTCAGAGTCATCTAGGTAAAGTGCAGTGTGTGCTGATTGGCAAGGCAGGCCTTGCAAAGAACCCCACAAACAGAATCCAAGTCCCTGAGACAGAACTTAAGGTCTCTCTGTTGCCCTGAGCCCACTACAGAGATATGAAAGTACCTAACAAAACGGGCACATCTCGGAGAGCAGTTGAGACACCTGAACACCATCCTCCACCCTCTTTATTTTATTTATTTTTTATTTTTTCCAGACAGGGTTTCCCTCGAGCTTTGGAGCTTGTCCTGGAACTCACTCTGTAGACCAGGCTGGCCTCGAACTCGCAGAGATCCGCCTGTCTCTGCCTCCTGAGTGCTGGGATTAAAGGCGTGCATCACCACCGCCTGGCGCATCCTCCGACTTCTTTCTCACTTTGTGACTTGGAAGATGTCCCTTATAGGGAAAAAAGTTCAGCCCAGTCCCGCCTGTCCATCACAAAGCTGCCTAAGGATACAGAGGTCCACCCACGCTGCATCTACCTGCTCACAGAACGAAACACGGTGTCTTGTAGCACATTTTATCTACTCCTGAGAGCAGGTACCAGACACATTCTTGCTGCTGGCCCCAGCACCCTGACACACCACCATCACTCCACCCTCCTGTCTACAGCAGAAACTGATTGTAGACAATTTCAGTCCAGCTTCCTTAGTTCCATCTTGGGCCTGGACTCAGCCAGTGGGAAGCACTAGAGAACCCAAAGAACTATACCTCACCCAGCACCTCCCTGCCAGGTCACAGCGTCCCCTTCTCAAGGTCACAGTTTCTGAAAGGGGTCTATTTCTCCGTCTCAGCTGCCCTTCAGGTCTGGGGTGGTGGCCGCTCTCCTTTGTTGCTAGCCTGGGTACTACACATCTCTCCTTTAATTCATGTATTTTCGATTTATTCAACTCTCCTCAAATGTCCCGTCTGAGGGTGCCATAAAAATGTAAGGCCGTATCAATTGTCCGTATCAAAAAACATTCTTGTATGTTCCACTTGGAGTAGTTTGGAAGGGAGGCTAATGGAAACGGCCAGGGGGAGGCTAGCCCCCAAGCCCGAACAGGGGCCACCTCTCTTTGTGTCCCCAGGGCATGAAAGGTGTCAAAGCCGGACTCCGTCCAAGAAAGAATTGATGCCTCCGCCACTAAACAGCAGGACCGTGTCTTCCTTCCCTCCTCCCCACCAGCTTCAGCCTCCGAGCCAAACCCAGGTGGCGCTCTCCTGCCTCCCCCATCACCTCCCGTGGGAGCCAGGGACAGCCCCGCGTTGGCCCCACTACCGCCCGACCGGGAGGCTCTGCACTCCCAAGGCGCTCAAGGAGCCTGACGACGCCCCCATGGGGACCGGAGGCTACAAGGTCCACTGGGGACCGCAGGGGATCCCCGGGGCAGCGCGGGTCGCCGTCAGGTCCCCGAGGCGCGCGTGGCGCGTCCCGACTCCCTGCCCCGCCCTTCCCTAGCCAGGCGCATCACCCCACGTGGGGCCGCAGGGGCGCTCGGCCTTGGTTCGCGATTGGTCGCTGAGCAGCCAATTAGAGGGCCTCTGCTGCTCAGACCGTGCCGATTGGCCCGGCGAGGGCGGGCGGGGCGGGAGTGGGGCTCCCTTTTGTTCTTTGCGCCCGCGCCGCGCGCCCG